TGCAACGGATACAAGGAACAAGGCATTTCCTTCCTGTTGTTAGAAATATCTAAACTAAAGAATAAAAAATTTAAAATAATAACTTATAGCTCTGTTTTTGTATTTAGCAAAGACGGGATTAAGAAATGAGACACAGTTATTAAATAATATAAATAATCTTTATCAAATAAAAGTTTTTGATACTAAATAATTAAAATTAATATATTGATAATGTGAATATTGAATAAACCCTTAAAAATAAAATAAAGATAAAGAATAGAACAAATAATAAAGATAATCTTTAAAACACTTGTCTTGTAGGCTCGAACGAATAATGTCTCATTTCTCAGAATGAAACTTTACAAGGACAAAGTGCTTGATTTGAGAAATTAACAAAAAACAAAATCTGAAAAGAAAGTAAGCTAAAAGCTTCGATTTATTATTAAGAGAATCGTAGATAACGTATGGTGTTTGTCAAATCAATTTTGTAGACGTAGTCTAACAGAATGAGAGTTAACCATGATTTGCAAACGAACTCAAACCTGTAAGAATTAAGAAAACGTACGGTGTTTGTCAAATCAATTCTGGAGACGTAATCTAACAGAATGAGAGTTAACCATGATTTGCAAACGAACTCAAACCTTAAACGGTTAGACCTTCCTTATGGTCTTTGTATGAATGAGATATGCGTAATTCCTACGCAATGGCGGAAAGAGAGATGCAGGTACTGCGCAGTTTGATAGAAGACCTTCAATCAGAAATTGAACTTGAGAAAGGATCCTTTGAGACTTTCTAGAGTGTTTCTTGCTTAGTATAAGCCAAGAAACGAAAAGAGGATTTCTTCCTGCCGATCAGAACACACCGAGAGAGATTACTTAGAGAATTCACTAGAGATCAGAGAGAACGTGTCTTTTCGGCGGAAGCGAACAAAACTTACTAATGGCCGCGCAAGAAGAAGGCTAGCAGCGCCTCTGTTCAAGCGCCCTCTCGCGTTTTTAATTCGACAACGGTCCACTTTTTTAACACTTCCCGTCGAGCAAAATGCAACAAACTTTATTTGAAGAGTTTTACAATAAATGCGGTATTTCATGGACTTGCTTAGGCTACATGGAGGCTCACGGCACCGGCACTTATGTTGGCGATCCAGAAGAAATCAATGCACTCGAGCAGGTTTTCTGCAAAAACAGGCAAACTCCTCTATTAATCGGCTCTATCAAATCAAACTTGGGCCATTCTGAAGGTGCTAGTAGCATGTGTCAAATTGTTAAGGTAATAATAATTATTATATGCATAATAATAGCCGTCGACATTTATGATCGTAGATTTGTGAAATTTTTATACTTTACAAACAAAAATTTTGTTTAACATTTCTTTCGCTGCTAAATCATTAATAGTATCAAAATAAAAAAATAAAAAACATTTATCAATTAATAAATAATTGAATAAAAAAATAAGAAGCGACAAATTAGCATATAATTAACTTTTCGTAAGGTGATAATTGCAATGGAAACTGGCTTAATCCCGCCAAATATAAACTTCACACAAACACGGAAAGGTGTTAAGGCTTTTGAAGATGGAAGTATATGCGTGGTGACCAAGACAACACCGTGGACTTCTGGATTTATGGGTATCAATTCGTTTGGTTTTGGTGGAGGCAACTGCCACATCTTGATGCGAAATAACACAAAGGAAAAGATCAATAAAGGAGCGCCGAATGATAATCTGCCCAGACTCGTTGTCCTGTCTGGACGTACCGAACAAGCAGTTGAATCATTTCTAAACAAGGTATATAAAAATTTTGCGGTTACACAGTCAATAAAAGCACACTTACAGCGCGAAAATTTGTATGTTAGATCGAGAACCGGCCAATAGACGTCGAATATGTACGGCTATTGCATGATCTTTACGCTGACGAGATGAAAAATCATCCTTACAGAGGATACGTGATTGTCGAATCTAAAACACCGATCAAAACGGCAAAAGAAATACAATATTATTCAGGTGAGAGAAGACCGATTTGTTTTGTGTTCTCCGGAATTGGTTCGCAATGGGTTGGCATGGATACGCATTCTTTTTTGCATATGTTAGAAAAGTGATTGCTTGCAATTAAACTTGAATTTACATGTTAACAGGTCAAGCGCTACTACGATTCCCAGTATTTTTGAAAACCATAGAAAAATGCGATACGATTTTAAAAATGCATGGAATGTATATCATTGACATATTAACGAGTAAACGTAAAAATATTTTTAACGATGTATTGAATTCACTTGTGGGCATCACCGTAATGCAGGTGATAAATTGCTTTTACAAATTATATGCGCGCAATTTCATGCGTAAATGTTTCTCGATAATTATAGAAAGAAATATTTTATTCTTTTTTAGGTGGGATTAATCGATCTCTTAAGATCCGTAAGTATCGTGCGGCCGGTAAATTCACCCTTGAACAAGTAATTTTATCTTCGTATTACATAGGATTGGGATTGAAGGAAACGAAAAAATTAACTGCGCGATGGTGAATATCGGTCTCAGTTATGAGAATGTGAAGAACATATGCCCACCGGACATCGAAGTAATCTACAGCAACAGTCAAAATACTTGCTCCATAAGCGGTCTAAAAAAATCAGTAAAGGCGTTTACAAAACAATTAAAGGTACTTCAATTTTTCATTTAATAATTTTGTTGAATATACGTGTAATTAACTTAAACAAATTATACATTTTATATAATTTTATAGACAAGTAATGTATTTACTGAGGAAGTCAACTGCTGCGATATTCCTCTGCATACTCGTTATCTCCTCTCCGCAAGAGCCACGATTCTGGCTTACCTGAATCAAATAATACCGCAAACAATGACTCCCAATGAGATATGGCAAGGTTTATTTTGCAGCACGAAATTGTCCTGCGCTGAATATTTCACGAATAATCTATCGAATCCTGTATTTTTCGATAAAACCGCGCAATTAATTCCCAGAAACGCAGTGACTCTTGAAATTGCGCCGGATGCTATTCTTCAGAGTGTTACGAAAGAACTGTTCGACACAACCAGCATTACGTTACTTCAGCGTAATCACGAGAATAACGTCAATGTATTTTTGCAAGGTCTGGGAAAAATGTACAACAATGGTTTGCAACCGCAATTAGCAAATCTATATCCGACCGTGAAATTTCCTGTTAGTCGTTCCACGCCGATGATCTCGCCGTCAATCAAGTATGTCGAACACATTATTCATTTGTTAAATATAATAGAATAAAAAATTATTTTCACGGTAAAAAATTTTTATTTTTTATTTCCAGATGGGACCATTCCGAAGACTGGTACGTAACATGTCATAAATTGCAAACGAGACTCTTTAACGAAGAAAGGATGGTTAAAGTTGTTCTAAATAACGAAGATTACGAATATATGAGCGGTCATGTGATTGACGGAAGACAGTTATTGCCGGCTACTGGATATCTCATGCTCGTTTGGGAAACGATGGGTATGCTGAAAAGTCTATCGTATACCGATATGCCGATCGTATTTGAGAATGTCAAGTTCATTCGGGCAACGCACTTTCCGAAACAAGGACCCGTGTATCTAACAATAATGGTGCAGAGAGGTAGATCTTATTTTAAAAATTTATTTTTTAATAAGCTATTTTACTTGCTGTATTGAGAATGACAATACTCAAATTTATGCAAATAAAAAAAACATTCAAGATTATTTATTGCAGCAACTGGAAAGTTTGAAGTCATCGAAGGAGATAATGCCGTCGTCACTGGCACTGTGCGTGAACCGACAGATATTGCCGAAGAAAAGTTACCGAGACAATTTTTAAATCAAAAGAACGACAACGAGGAGGAAGTAATGAACACAAAAGATATCTACAAGGAACTCAGATTACGCGGATATCAATACGCCGGCATGTTTCGGGATTTGAAGAGTTCGTCGACTACGGGAAAACAAGGGCACATAGCTTGGATGTACAATTGGGTAACATTTATGGATAATATGCTGCAAATGAAAATCCTCGGGATAGACACGAGGAATCTTCACGTTCCCACGGGAATACAAAAATTGGTGATCGATACGAAACTTCACATACAACAAATACGGAATGCAGCAGCTAACGATTATCGTAAGTTTGTCAACTTATTTTCTTTCTAACAGCTTTTAATATAAATTTTTTAATGTAACTTTAAATGTGACTAATTCTCAAATAAAGAAATTTGTTTAACGTAAAAGAAGTTTGAGTATAAAAAAATACAATATTTATAAATATCTTTCTAGAGCTTCCTGTGCGTGTGTACAAAATCTTCGACGCGGTAGTATCCGGCGGTGTGGAAATTCGCGGAATCAAGGCTACTTCCATATTTTGCCGAAAACCAGCGGAGGAACCTGTTCTCGAAGAGTACAGATTCATAGCTTATTGCGACGGAGCCGAGGTTTCTTTGCAGGAAGCCGTGATGCTGTCGACGCATCTCGCTCTGGAATATCATCAAGTGATAAAAGTAAATATTATCGAATTAATCGAAGATGATGACAATGTAGAAACAGATGAAATAGCATCACCACTGTTTATCGATATCTTGGGTGATCTACCGTTGCTTCAACCAAACGTTACTCTGGTGACCAGAACCAATCGCTTCAATTGCGTTACTCTTCATTCGAAAATCACAGTCTCGCAATCGAAGAAGTTGTCGAATGACGATAATGCGATATTAATCACAGGATACAATTTGTTCACGAAGAACAAGAGCAAGACCTTAAAGGAAATTTTGTCGGCATTACAAAACAATGGATTTTTATTGACACGAGAGCAGACCTTTACGAAAGACGACATTGCGACTGCCGAAAAGTACAATTTAGCAGTAGTACTTGAGAAACGCACGCAGAAAGAGCACATTATACTGTTAAAGAAGAGAGAACAGTCGATGAGGAAAATTCAAGTTATTCACGTTAACAATTATGAGTTCTCTTGGTTAGAGCAGCTTAAATCGATCTTGAACGCGGAGAACGAATCAAGAAACGCCGCAAAAATAATTTTAGTCAGCGAGAAAGATTCGGAATGCGGCTTGTTGGGCCTCGTCAATTGCTTGAGGAAAGAACCAGGTGGCGAATCGATCAGAGGAGTGTTTATTCAAGACGAAACTGCACCGGAGTTTTCTTTGCACGAATTATTTTACGCGGAGCAACTCCGGATCGATCTTATCATAAATGTCTTGCGTCCGGGTAAAACATGGGGTTCATACCGACATCTTCCATTAGCGCCGCTGACACCGAAGCTCGTGTACCACGCATTAGCCAATCAATTGGTATAAATGTTTCATAAATTAATAAAAAAAAGTTATTCTTACAGTTCTGTTATAACAAAAGGTATTTCGCAATTAGGTGGGCGGTGATTTGAGTTCATTTCGCTGGATCGAGGGCCTGATTACACCGGATTATAAGGAGAATAATCTCGTTCACATAGCTTACTCGACTATCAATTTCAGAGATGTAATGATAGCGTCCGGCAAACTTGTAATAGATGGTTCGATTTTATCGTGTGGCCGAACCGAAAATTGCAATATGGGTATAGAATATGTCGGCGTGGACAATACTGGACAGACAGTGATGGGACTTTGCGATAGAAGGTACGTTACTGTCACGCAATCATTTAAAAGTATACTGTTTCTAAAAAAATTAACGCACTTTAAAGCAAGTCTTTTCATTGAATAAATTGATATATTGTGTGTATATATCGTGCATGTGTGATAAGAAGATAAAAAATAATTAAAAAACCATTTGTTTAAAAAGATTTGCATCTCAAATGTTGCAGACTTTGCAATGCAACTTGCAATATTTTGTGAAGCCAAAGCACAAACGCAGAATTATTTTACTGGAGTGCATAAATTTTTTATAAACAGTATTACTGTATTTACTATATTTACTGTAAAATCTACAAGTTATCCTTATCCTAGATAATCCTGTTTTTTTCTTTAGATATAAAAAAATTTTAATTCTTTAATTCACAGATTCATATCAAATATGTGCACATCCTCCAAATACTTATGCTGGAACATTCCCGACGAGTGGAGCATGGAGGACGCTGCCACGGTTCCGTGCGCTTACAGCACGTGCTGTTACGCATTATACATCAAGGCGAAAATGAAAAAGGGCGACAGGGTACTTATCCACTCCGGTACCGGTGCCGTGGGCCAAGCTGCGATTCATCTTGCGCATCACAAAGGTTGCGAGATATTCACCACCGTTGGCACTCCGGAAAAGCGAAAGTTTATCAGAGACACGTTCCCGTTCATCCCAGAGAATCACATTGGAAGTTCGCGCGACAACAGTTTTGAGCAAATGATATTTACTCAGACTAACGGCCGTGGCGTGGACATTGTACTGAACTCGCTCGCCGAAGAGAAACTCTGGACGTCGATCCGTTGCCTCGCGAAAGGCGGGCGTTTTCTGGAAATTGGCAAATTTGATTTTATGGCTGACAATTCTTTAAATTTATTCTTTCTTTCAAGAAATATTCAATTTTTTAGTGTTATGCTAGAAACATTATCAAGAGCTCCAGAAAAACTAAAAGAACGTTTGAATATGGTAGTGGCCATAAATCTTGCGAATAAAGCTATTCAACCGATTGCCAGGAAGATTTTCGAAAAGGATGAAGTGGAGGCTGCATTCAGATACATGGCAGTTGGAAAGCATATAGGAAAGAAAGGTCAATTTAGCTGGCATTAATTGTGGCTTAATACGCGAGATCAATTAAAAATAAAACAAAATAAGAGACACGTATTCTTTTTTATGTGCTTTCTCGCACGTTTAGGGTTGAAACAACCCATACAAGCTAAAACGGTTCTTTTGGTTTTGACTGAATATCGTCAAAACTGTAAGAGATATAAAAAAATGTTTTGAATAAAAGTTGCATGGTCTTTTATGAGCTTTATAACCGCGTAGCTCAATTTTTAAAAATTTTATATTTTTGAATTTACTCCTACCCCTTTTTATTATTTTTACGAATTTCAAAATTTTTGTTATAACAAAAGTTGTAGCATTTTTACACTGAATACAATCATATATGTAGTATAAAATAATATATATTTCGACCATTAAGAATACAGGCGGATATAGGATCGGAATTACAGAGTTCTCTCTAACATTCTCGCGTCGTGATGTATCGTTTCATCGCTCGAGGACGACTGACTGTCCTCGCGAAACCGTCGGAATTCGAAGCCAAACAGCACGAGACGAACGCATGTACGAAATACACAAATATTATCGCTGTAACGCTACCTTTGAATATTCGGAGCTGTGTCTTACAATCGTGTCGCTGTATTCAACGTTATTTATTCCACATATATAATTTTATTATGTTTTGGAGTCGCATCTTTCAGAAATGAGCTATCAATGTCGCACTATATGCGTCGCGCTGCGATATATGCATATACATATATGCATAACGCATCGTTTGTGCCGCGCTTGTGTAATCGATAAGACGAATAAAATTAAAAATAAAGATGAGCATGTTATGAAGCATTCGGAAAAATGTTCTGATCAAAGAACAAAATTTACTAAAGTTGTTGCCAAGGCATCTCCTTTATATTATACTTTTATAGTTATACTAGAACAATACAAGCGCGCACTGCGCACGCGCACTTATTATTCTACCATCGACTGAAACAGTAGGTTGTATAGTATAGCTATGCGTAGTTGCCGATACGGATTGTATTGCAGATTCAATCTTTTTTGTTCCTTTATATGCCAATGTACGATCGGCATGAAGTTCTAATTGGAATCCGCTTTGATCACTGTTATAAATATTTTCAACTCCATATTCTATTATTTGATATTTAACGTTTTCAATAAATGTGTTACATTTTTCTTCAAAATCGACGTTAGACATTATAAATGTTTTCTTATAAATTTTGTTATTTTACGAGATACAGTATTATGTATTATTTTAAATTTTTGTATCCATCGCAATAAAGCTTTGAATCCTGGTACATTTAAATTTTTTGTGCCTGAACAACCCATCGAGCTAAATCAGCGTCGTGAACAATAATTCTCTTTTCAAGAGCTGTATGAAAATTATTTAATGTATTCCAAAATTTGTTTTAATTTTTTGAATCTACTGCCACCTTGATTCACTTGAATTTCCCATC